TATATGTATATTATATATAATACTATCTATAATATAATAACTTTAACTTTAAAAACTTAACTTATAACTTTACCAATTTTATATATATATAATTATAATTTAAGTTGGTAAAGTAAAATAATCAGTTATATCTCCCAGGATTAAACATTTTATACTTTAAATTAGCAAACATTTAAAGTCTAGTTTTGTAATCAGTTACTAAGCACCTCTTAAGAGTTTTGACCCATCAATATTGTACTTGTTAGTTCTTTTCTATTTCCCCAGACACATCTGGACAAAGGCAGAAACAGTGATGAGGGAGGAAGTCAAAGTAATGACATGAGACCAGTCGTTTTCCTCCCAAACACATATTTAGGGGCTGACATCATAGCCACACAGCACAAACTACAGATGGAAAAGTAACTGGACTCAGATACGGAAACTTAAACCTTTATCAGATGAAGACAGGAAAGACCAGCAGGGAAACTCACACCTGCTGGGACAAGAAACTAGAAATCAAGAACCCACAGGGTCATTACATTCTGAAACAATGTCTGTTAGAGCACTGAAATAGGATGAGAGCCAGTGATTAAGCTTCCATTGACACTTTTCCCTGACACTATTTTACTTTGCAGAAAATATTCAAAATAAGATAACTGGAAGGAAAGAGTCCTGACATCGTAGTGCCAAGTCAGTAGCTCGCACTGCACAAACAGGCTTGGAGGGCTAGCCAACTGCCTGGCCTCAGAAGCTCAAGCCCCACTCCGACTCCTAGCCTAGCTCTTCTCTGAGAAATACTGCAGCCTGCCTGCCACAATTCATGAGAGGCAGTCACTCAAAGCCTGATCTGTGGGGAAACTGTGACAGGCTACAGAACTGTAAGTCAAAGAGCCATATGATTTCCTGGATATAGTCACTTGACTGCTGTTTAGAATTGTTTGACGGTCAGACTGTTCATCCAGCAAAAAGCAGGGACTTCGTAACCAGCCAAGCTCAGCTAAGAGACAGGAAGTGAACACACCCTCATCTGTGATTTCAGCCCTGTCTGGATGAAATAGAGGCCAACGCAATGATTACCACACAAGGAAGCTGACTAGAGTGTCTTTGGAGTCTGCCGCTCAGTCTCCCCTTCTATATATATATTTTTTTTTTTTGAGAGGTTTTTGCTACAGGGTGCATGCGCTCGCCAGACACACAGAGAGACAGAGAGACAGAAAGTGAGAAATCACTCCCCCTCGGGGGGGATGGCCACGCCACAATCCCTTCTCCTCTATTCTCCTCTTGGGATCTTGGGCACGCACACACATGTGCCCAGCGTGAGTTTCAAGCCACCGGGTCCAGGACTTGAACCGCGATGGACTACATGGGAGTCCAGCAACATAGCCATTACGCTAACTGCTGGTCTGGTTCCCCCCCTTCTCTTTTATATCCTGCCTTTTCCTCTCTTTCTTCATCAGTTTCCTTTTTTGTCCACCTTGTATCATATCCTATATCATATCTTCATATTTTACTTATTTATCTCATGTTTTTTGAGCCAGACAGAGAGAGCACTCCCAAGGGGATCTTCATTCCACAAGCCACCCCCAGTCTCAGCCAGCCTGGCATGCATGCTCCAGTGTCTCCAGGGAGTCTTTTGGATGAACCCAGAACTTCCCCATGTGGGCCAGCCTCACAGAGCATTACACTACCATAAGCCACCATCCAGTCCCATACCTATATCTTACCTCTCTAAAAAACTTTTGAAAATGAAAAGTTAACTTTAAATTATTCTTGCCAGATTATTTCAGTTGTTCTTAGTTCTTTCTGCACTAATTGTTACATTACAAGATAATATATTGGGTCATCAGAAAAGTCATGACACACTTTTGCATAGAAAAACAGAAAACTATGTCATGACTTTTCCACCAACCCAATTGTATTAGCAGAGTTCTTTTAGTCATTACAGAGATATAGTTTTACATGCTATTACAAAGATTTCCATATTTGAAGGAGCCTGCATTGTATGTTATCTAAGATGTAGCCAATTTATTCATGCAGCAAATTAAAATTATGTTCATTGATGATTAGAGCCAGGAGACATCTCAGAGATCATCAAATCCAATCTTTTAATTTTACAGATGAGAAAACTGTGGCTCAGAGAGTTCAAGTGACTTGCTCTCAATTCTAATTTAATATTCAGTGTGGGTTGGGGCCAACCATATGACACAGATAAAACTGGAAGTTTGGAGAATTGTGGCACACTATAATTTCTTGAAAAAGAAATTTTGGTCATTGGTATTAATAACCCATGCAGAGTCCAATGGACATGTCAGTTGTATAACACAACCTATGGTGGTTGCTGATGATTCAGTTTCCCATGTGACATGAGAAATGAGAATAGTAGTCATTCCTTCTGAAGGAAAAATAAATGAGAAATTGAGGAGGAGATTCAGAGGAATATTTTTAAACTCTTATTTATTTTGGAGAGTGGTAGCTTTAAAAGGTGTGCACGTGGATTTTCCTGATGCAAGGCTGTGTCAGAGGGAGTACAAATTAGTACAGGAAAGCTCCCAGCACTTCTGAAAGGGAACTCAGTGATCACACCATGCTTCTAGGCACTTCAGGGGCTGTGAGGCACAATCAACATATTTCTACTAAGGGTCTATACCCCGGCATATTTTCGTCCATTAAATACCTTTCTCAATATCATACAAAAGAGGGGCCAGCAGGTGGCATAGTAGTTAAGGCACTGGACTCCCACATGTTCACTATGGTTTGAGTCTTAGACCCCACAGCTTGAAACATTCTGAGTGCATGTGCCTGCATACCCAAAATTCCAAGAGGAGAATAGAGGGGAAGGGATTGTGGTGTGGCCATCCTCTCTAGGAAGTGATTTCTCACTTTCTGTTTCTCTGTCTCTTTGGTGAGTGCACATGCCCAATAACAAAAAACAACAGCAACAACAACAACAACAAAAAAAAACAAACAAACAGACAAACAAACAAAAACTCTCAAAAGCCCAAACTAATAAGGTACACTTCCCAGTCAGGAACATAAGCTTAATGAAACATGGCACTCTCATATATTTCTTGGGCTCTTGGGGCTGAAGACATTTCTGTTGCATGTATTAACTCAAAGACCCTATCTGCAAAGGATATTTATTTCCTATGCTGTATTTCCAAAGAACATATAGTAGTGATGAGAAATTGAGTATCAGGAAAAATAAAACAAATAAATGCTAAAAATGTTAATTCCATTAGGTAATATTCAGAAATGCATATTTTGCCTAGAAATCTTCTATTTTCTGTTCTATAATTCCATGTTTTAATATCTTATTTCTGTCTGTTACTGTCCTTTTTTTTTTTCTAATTTCTTAAAATAATGTTCAGTCACTTTGGCAACTTTTCACTTTACTAAAAAATTTAAACTTGCAGAAAAGTCACATGTATGAGCTCTCCAAGTTCTTCTTTCCCAGATTTACTATGTACTTGTATTTTGCCCCCAGTGCTTACTTTATCAACCTGTCTCTTTCTCCCTCTCTTCCCCATGAGACTTGATTCTCTCAGTCTCTCATTATTTGAACCACTTCAGAGTAATATGGTGACATTGTGAATCTTTACTGCTAACAACTTCAGTGTGGCGTATCTAAGACTTTTCTTATAAACCATAGTGCAAATATCAATATTAGAAAATTCAATATTGATATAATTTTCTTAAATAATAACTACTCTATTTTTATTAAGGAAGGTAATCAAGTCACTATGCTTTATCCTAAACATAGCTTTTATTGTATGCCACTAGTGTGGGGGTGAGGTGTCCTCATGGTGTTTCAGATATTAGCACATTTTATAATGGAGTAAATGAAACTAAGTTATACATTGCTGTTTTGTTACCTTTTGATGCATTAATTGCTTCATAGCTTATTAAAAAGCCTTCATGAGCAAGATCAGAGTCAGCCACAAATTTCAGCATTAACGAGTTGGCACAGCTGGTAAGAGAAGGTGGGATCGATTTTCCACAGTATCTATTCCAAAACAAGAAAGGACAAATAACTACATTTAAAAACTTTTAGTATGTTTGGAAGTGTACCAAAAATTACAACGTATAAATATGATAACCGATTTTGTTATTTACCTCCTATTAACTTTTAAAAAAATGAATTTTAGGCAAAAAAATGCTTATAAACTTGCTGAAGATCATTCTGCTCATGGTTACTTCCCTGAAATGATTTTATGTGTGTGCCTGGCTATATGACATGTCGTGAGTGAGAGATTCAATAAGATTGGAAAGTAGGAGCTATACTAGATTGTCAAACAGTGTGTTAATGAGTTTATTAATAGAAATGTATTAAACTTGCAAAAGGAAGCAATATATCATAAATTCATAGAGCACAGACTCTATAGTCCACTTTATCACTTCAGATATTTTGACTTTGGGCAGATGACTCAATACTCATGCCTCAGTTTCCCCATGTCTAAAATGGAGACTATGATAGTATCAACATCAGGAAATTGTTTTGAGACTCTGATGACTTAAGTGCTGTATATAAAACACTTAAAAGAGTGTCTAGAATAGTAATCCCTATGTAGATAAAATCTATTAGCTTTAAGTTGGCCTATGGAGAGGTTAGAATTTGTTTGTTTTTTAGAGGTTTATTGCTATAGGGCTCATGCGCCCGCCAGACAGACAGAGAGAGACAGAGAGACAGAAAGCGAGAAATCACCCCCCAGGGGGGATGGTCACGCCAGAATCCCTTCTCCTCCATTCTCCTCTCAGGATCTTGGGCATGCACGCACACGTGCCCGGCGTGAGTTTTAAGCCACCGGGTCTGGGATGCGATCCGCGGTCGACTATGTGGGAGTCCAGTGACATAACCATTATGCTAACTGCTGGTCCCGAGAGGTTAGAATTTGATTCCTAAGTCATGCCATGTTTTTGATGAACAAAAACAATTTAACTTAGAAAAACTATTCTATTAATGCTGAAAATAGAGTTGTAATAAAAGACATTATGCATGAGTTTTATTTAGAGAAACACCTATAAGAATAAATGAGCAGAAAATCGATATCTCAAATCAAAGCACACTTGGAAAAATTAAACAAATAGAATTACAGAGGGTAAAAAATAGAGAAACCAAAATGAAAGGAAGTGCTGAGCTAAGTAAGTGGCATAGTAGTCAAAATGGCTAGATCCCAAAGAGCTGACTGTGCAGTTTGAGTCCCAGACCTGGCAGCTTGAAAAATATACTGGCTATGTATGTGTGCATGCCCAAGATCCTGAGAGGAGAATGGAGGAAAAGAAATTGCTGTGTTGCCATCTCCCTTGGGGGGTGCCTCTTCACTTCCCCTCTCTATCTCTGCCGAGCACACACACCCAACACCAAATTAAAAAAAAAAAAAAAAAAAAAGAAGGAGGGATGCAAAATACAGGAAACACATGAGTATTACTAAAGGAGAAAAAGAAAGTAAATTCAGTGTATAATACTATTTCAGTTTTTTAAAAAAATAATATTTTGGGACCAGGAAGTGGTGTAATGGTTGTATCACTGGACTCCCACAGAGTCAACCACAGTTCAAGTCCCAAACTCAGTGGCTTAAAACTCACACCAGGCACGTGTGCATGTGTGCCCAAAATCCTGAGAGGAGAATAGAGAAGGGACGTGGTGTGGCCATCCCCCCCAAGGAGGTGATTTCTCACCTTCTGTCTCTCTCTCATGCAACCTATAGCAAAAATCTCTCAATAAACAAAAAAATAAATAAATAAATAATTCAATATTTTAATAAAGGGAAAGTAAGCTTATTAATTAATTTTTAAAATATCTCTGTATATGCCAATGTCTACCGAATTTGGGCAAGATAATTATAGCTTATGCCATTCAGCAAAAATGATGTATTTTGCAGTATTTATTTGTTAAGTACTCCCCTCCCCCCAAAAAAAAGGAAAGAAAGAAGTTAAAAAGATGAAAGACTGAGGGGTCGGCAGGTGGCGTGGTGGTTAAGGGCGCTAGACTCCCACATGCTGACCGTAAGTCCTGGACCTGGCCGCTTGGTTTCTCACTTTCTCTCTCTCTCCCTCTCTCTCTCACTCTGTCCCTCTCTGGTCAAATTAAATAAATAAAGTTAAATAAAATAATTCTTTAAGAAAAGATGAAAGACTGAATAAATTAAAAATATTTCAAACTAAATAAGAAAAAGTAAGATAAAATGCATGAAGAAGTTAAACAAATCAAGAGACTTTCATTTCAAACAAAAAATGTAATAACAGAAGCTATAAGTTAACTTTCCACCTGAAACGACTAAAAATATGGACAAAATATGTAAAACAATGGCTCTAAAAACACAAGTTATCAACCGATGAAGGACAGCTCTTTAGAGACCAGAAACAAATATATTTAAAAGAAAATTGAAAAGTATCAAGCCATTTCAAAATAACTTAACTGCATTCCAAAATAAAGTTTAAGAATACTTATAGAGGGACCAGCAAATGACATAATGACTACGTCACTGGACTCCCATGTAGTAGACCGTGAATGAAGTCCTGGACCCAGTGGTTTAAACTCACAACAGGTATGTGTGCATGCGTGCCCAAGATCCTGAGGGAAGAATGGAGGAGAATGGATTGCAGCATGGCTATCCCCACTGGGGTGTGATTTCTCGCTTTCTGTCTCTCTGTCTCTGTCTTCCTGGTGAGCACATATGCCCTATAGCAAAAATCTCTCTCAAAAAAAAAAAAAGAAAGAAGAATACTTATAGGAATGTAATAAAGTCCACTGCCCAAAAAATATAAACCAAAAAGATTGAGTATCCTTTCAAATATTATCAGCCATGAAAGGAAACAGGAATATATAACTTTTAATAAGAGGAAAAATTAATTAATAAAAACATACCAGGAAATGATACAGAGGACATTCCCTTCTGAATGACTGATAGGACTATACTATCACACCCATCCTTCTGCCCCTTCCCAGACTTGGGACTCTAGGGAAACCTCCCTGCTCCCTGTTATCTTTTTCAGCTCTGGAACTCTCTGAATTGACAGTGTGGGTAGAGAAGCGCCAAGGGCCAGATGATGAAGAAGAAGGTGTCAGCTATCTCTCCTTTCAGGGCAGGTTAGCAGATAGGGATATCATTTCACCTGCTTTACAGCCCCAGGGACCTCTGGTCCTACAGGCCTTTGAGGGCAGCTCCTACATCACCTCCTAGTCCCACACAGGTGCATGCACAAGTGGTTCCTACCCAGCCGCAGAGCAGCACAGACAGATGCACACACCTCCCGCTGGTCACCACAGACAGGCACATTTCCAGCCCTTATCACTGGTCCAGCAGATAGACATGCAGCTCCCACCAAGCACACAGCACAACCTTCCTAAGGCCCCAAATTGGCCTGTGAGGGCATAGTCCCCCCCTTCCCTACTCAGACTCAAAGAAATGGTAGCAGGCCTGCACAAACATCTCCCAGACACAAAGTCATGCCAATGAGTACACACAGCACTCTTCCTAAGCCCCAAACTTCATTGGCTGGCTTGGCAGTCCTATGAGAGGTGGCACATAACCCCTCCTGTGCCAGCAATAAATGTGCCCCATCTACCTGCAACAAACTATGTACTGACAGGTGCTGTGGCTGTGGAGTCAAGTACTGGAGTAGACAACTTCTTTCATCTTCAGGGACTACACACTATTGTCATTTAAACAATTAACCAATCCCTGAATCACCATCCCTACACAAACATCTTTTTCCTTCTGTGTGCAATTCATCCAAGACAAAGGAGATAATTTATCTGATATCTTCACTCAGCTACCTCTCCCAGAACAAGATTCCCCTCCCTATATATGCTTTGAGAACTCAGGTAATCACCTCCAGGAAAGCAGTTGTCAATTGTTTCAGGTACTCCACCTCTCTATAGATAGAACACCACAGTACAACACTAACTACATCTAGAAACAAAAACACAGGCCCAGAGACTTACACATCTCCTACTGTATATTGGAAAATACAAAGAGTCTTCTACACTGACTTCCACCAGAACCAAAGCCAATATGACTCAGTCAACTAATATGAAAGAACATAGCCATAGTAAAAGTAAAGGAAAAATTAAAACATAAATAAAAATCAAAATAAATACTGCCTCTATAAAATCTAATCCATAAATCAGAAAAAAAGTGAGTAACCCACCAAAGGCTGAAAAATCAATGTAGGGACATGAAAACACAGGAAAAAATCAATGCAGAAACATAAACAAGGAAATATCTCTCCTCCAACATAACACTCTACCTCCTCATTAACAATGGGCAATATCCAAGAAATTACAGCAATTTTGGAAGTGGATTTCACGTTACTGGTTATAATAAAACACAATGAGGTGCAAACAAACACAAAGAAACCACTTCGAGAGATGAGAAAAACAATGCATCAATTGGAAGATTCAATAGAAATACCACTTTTTAAAAAATTAGACAAATCCTAGGGATAAAAAACACAATACAGAAAATAAAACATTGTATAGAGAGCATTAATAACAAACTAAACCACAAAGAAGAAAGTATCCCTGAACTTAAAGACACAATTTTAAAAATAGTCCATGAGTTGGCCCAATAGCATAGTACTTAAGTGTATATAAAAAAAAAAAAACAGATCCTACATGGTCAACCATGGTTGGGATCCTTGCCCTAGTGGCTTTAAACACATGTCAGGCATAACCACATGTGTGCCCCAAATCCTGATGGATGGAGAAATGGGGGGGAAAACGGATTTTGGTGTGACCACTACTAAGTAGGGAGTATTCTTCCTGTCCCCCAGCACATGTCACTAATACCAATAAAATAATTTTAAAATGACTGTAAAACAATAAGCAGACAGAGACAGAACTGAAGAATGTAATTCCATTTACCATAGCCACAAGAAGTGTAGGATATTTAGGAATAAAACTAACCAAGGAAGTCAAAAGAACTCTACAAGGAAAACTATGAAAACCATAAAAAGGAAATGGAAAAGTCCTTCCACACTAAAAAGTGGAAGGACATCCCATGTTTCTGGATTGGTAGAATCGATATAATAAAAATAACAATCCTACCCAAATTAATCGACATATTTAATGCAATCTTGATTAAATTCCAAGAGACATTCTTCATAGATCTACAAAAGACAATCATAGAATTTGTCTGGAACTACAAAAGACCCTATTTTGCTAAAGACATCCTGTGCAAGAAGACTGACATAGGTGGCATCTTACTTCCTGATTCCAAAATACATTACAAAGCTGTGATAATCAAAATAGCATGATATTGGTACAAAAACAGACATGAGGACCAATGGAACAGAGTAGAAACTCCAGAAATGAACCCCAAAACATACAGCCAACTCATCTTTGACAAAGGGGACCAGTCAACCCAGTGGGAAAAGGAAAACCTCTTTAGCAAATGGTGTTGAAAAACTGGGTATCGACCTGCAGAAAGATGAATTTGAACTCTTCTCTGTCACCATTAACAAAAATAAACTCAAAGTGGATAAAAAATCTAGGGGGATCAGCAGTGAGCATAATGGCTATGTCGTTGGACTCCCATGTAGTTGACCGCGGTTCACATCCCGGACCCGGTGGCTTAAAATTCATGCCAGGCACCTGTGTGTGCATGTCCAAGATCCCGAGAGGAGAATGGAGGAGAAGGGATTGCGGCGTGGCCATCCCCCTGGGGGGGGGGGTGATTTCTCACTTTCTGTCTCTCTGTCTCTGTCTGTCTGTCTGGCGGGCACACGCGCCCTATAGCAAAATCCTCTCCCCCCAAAAAAAAGAAAAAGAAAAAAGAAAATCTAAACCTGAGACTGCAAACTATAAAACTACTGGTGGAAAACTGGGGAAACTCTGGGAGACATTGGGGTAGGCAAAGACTTCTTAAGCAAGACCCCAATGCACAGGCAATAATCCCCCAAATAGACAGATGGGATTACATCAGATTAAGGAGTTTCTGCACAGCAAAGGGCACTGTAATTAGTGTGACGTGACAACCCTTGGAATGGGAGAGAATTTTTGTTAACTGTGCCTCAGGTAAGGGACTGATACCCATAATACACAGGGAACTCAAGCAGCTTACTTGGAAGAAAATGATTAACCCAATTAAAAGATGGGGAAAATGAGCTGAATAAACAATTCTCTAAAGAAGACATATGAACAGCCAAAAAGTATATGAAAAAATGTTCAATATCCCTCATTGTAAGGGAGATGCAGATCAAAAACACAATGAGATACCACCTAATCCCAGTCAGACTGGTGAAGATTAAAAAAAACAAATAATGATAAATGCTGGAGGGGAGGTGGTGAAAGGGTAACACTCCTACACTGTTGGTGGGAATGTAAATTGGTCCAGCCACTGTGGGGAATGATATGGAAGTTTCTCAAAGACCTTCAAATAGAATTACCATATGATCCAGCAATTTCACTTCTGAGTATCTACCTAAAGGACAGGAGAGCACTCAGTTGGAAATGAGCTTGCACATCTATATTCACTACAGCCTTATTCACGATTGCTAAGACATAGAACCAACCCACATGTCCACAAACGGAGGAATGGATTGAAAAATTGTGGCACATATACTCCATGGAATAGTATTCAGCCATTAAAAAAACAAGGCCCTGGAATTTGTTAGAAAGTGAATGAATATGGAAGATTTGTTGCTGAGTGAAGCAAGTCAGGCTATGAAAGAGAGACATTGTATGTCTCCACTTAACATATACTGACTGACTGTACTCAAAAGCATAAGAAATTTAGGGGGAAAATGGAGAGGGAAAATACTTATGGGACACAGATAAAGTTGATTATGTGTTGATGAGGGTGTGTATGGTGGTCTCAACTGGGCTGGACCAAGGTTTATATCATGCTGGGTAAAGTCTCTTCACAATCTAAATGATGTATAACAATATAATGTATGAATAATAAAATAAATAAATAAATAAATAAATAAATAAAAAGTACAGACACAAAAAAACGAGTAGCCCAAACCAGCAAAAGAAAAAAAATAATCATTAAAAGCGAAGAGACCATATAAGAAATATGAACACTATTAGGCAACTGAATAGCTATATAATGGGTATTCCAGAAGATGAAGAGATGGGAAAAGGCATAGAAAATCTATTTCATTAAACAATAGCTAAAAGAAATGACCAAATATACAGAAAGATACAAACACTCAGATCCAGAAATTTCAAAGGATGCCAAGTAGATTCAACATACATCTTCTCTAAAATGCATTGTAGTCAAAATGTCAAGATTATAAGCAAAAAAAAAAAAAAAAAAAAAAAAAAAATTTAAAAATGGCTAAAAAAAAGGGTCGAGGTACTT